CACGAAAAAAGACAAAAAGGAAAAAAAAATGTCATAGCAATGTTAAATTACTCTGGAAGTTTCTTAATTCTTTCAGTTTCTGGACTTATTGCAAACTGCTAACAAACAGTTTAGAGACCAGCCCTAGGAGGCAGACCACATTTTGAGTAGCATTTTACTGGAATATATGTGGTTTCTTCCAGGGGCTACTTTATTGGAGGTTTGTGACTTTTTGAGATATACTTTGAGTCTTGGTCCCATTTACACTGATCATAAAAATCTCAATTTTTCAGAATCATCCTGATTTTAACAGTTTGCTCTGATCTGCCCTTTAAACCATTACATTGTCCCAGAAATATTGATATTTTGCTGTCTGCACAAGCCCTGTCCAATAGAACTTATTGTAAATGGCCACATGTAACTAGTGGCTACCATATTGGACAAATCGGGTCTAGCTTGTATCTCTCACACAGCTTTCACACTAGGAAATGGTGTAGAAATCCTTTATCAGATCACATATTTGGACCATTGTTTCTGTAGCCCAGAATTTTAAAAATATTTGTAGAAAAAAGCAGTTTCAGAGTTAATCTGTGGAAGAAGAAAAGTTGGAGGAAAGGGAGGAAGAGAAAGGAAAAGGAAGTATTATTTTTTTCAAGTAACATTTTTTTCTAGAACTTAGTATTCTAGCCCCAAATTCTGAAATTGCAACTGGTTACATTCTCTGGTGAGAGTTGCCTGGTTCAGAGTCTTGTGCTTAACTGTTGTCTATCACCAGAGATGAGTTGCTACCTAGTAATTGTTTGGTTGACTGAGGTTAATGACATGATTAGGTTTATATTTATGGAATAGTCAGATGAGCATACTTTGGTCCACCTCATTCTGGAATTCTCGATTCCAATATAACCTCATGTATAATTTGGTCTCTTGTCTTTAAGTTTTATAATTTTCTAGGCACAGATTTCATTCAGTTTGAAATGATGCAAATAGTAGAGGCTAGTAGATAGTAAGGATATGCCTCTTCTCCATCCTACTGTTCCAAACAGGACAATGAGAAACCCACCTCCTGTCATCACCATTGTACAGAATTTTTGTTTGCTTGATCCAGCTTAAGGGCCTGCTTGCTTGCTGATTTTTCTTCTGTGGACTTGGCTGCAGACTAGTGTATATGAATAAAGTCAGGAAGAATGTGAGTGCACATGAGACATGGATCAAATAGTGTTTATGACTGATTTATTTTTTTAACTGTCACAATCTGTTCATCTCCTCTTTATTATTTTTTTTAATTAAAAAAATTTTAGGGCTGGCCTGTGGCTCAATCGGGAGAGTGCAGTGCTGATAGCACCAAGGTCATCAGTTTGGATCCTATATAGGGATGGCCAGTTGGCTCACTGGCTGAGCGTTGGTGCTGACAACACCAAGCCAAGGGTTGAAGTCCCCTTACCGGTCATCTTTTTAAAAAATATATAAATAAATAAATAAATAAAATTTTTATTGAATCATAATTGATTATACATATTTTGGGGGTTCAATGTTGACATATGTTGATCAAATCAATATTACTAGTATATATATTGTTACAAATTGTGCTTATTTTTTTATTTTTTATTTTTTATAAAAAGACGACTGGTAAGGGGATCTTAACCCTTGACTTATTCTTGTCAGCACCATGCTCTCCCAAGTGAGCCAACCGGCCATCCCTATATAAGGATCCGAACCCGTGGCCTTGGTGTTATCAACACCATACTCTCCCAAGTGAGCTACAGGCCGGCCCTCGTACTTATTCTTTTTGTCCCTTGCCCAATCTCTCCCTATCCCCCTCTCCCTCCCCTTCCCACTACTGATAATCCTAGATTTCTTCTCTCCCTCTGAAAGAGTAATTATGGTTACTCTGTTGATTTGTTGCCTAGATGATCTGTCCAATGCTGAGGGGTGTGTTCAGGTTCCCTAGTATTATCATAGAGCAGATGTTTCTTCTGTCACTCTGGAATGGGCTGTGTGGAGAGGGACATCTTCTTTTCTTTGGTCTCTGCTGGTGACTCTCCTTGTGTCAGTGCACTCTAGTGGCTGGTGGACCATCTGCGTGGTAGTTGTGACATCTAGCCACTTTTGCAGCAGCCATGGTTACTGTAGTGGCTGTGGTGGGCCACCCACATGGAGGTGATATTTTTGGCATGGTCCTTGGCACTGGTGGTGTGCATGGTTGTTGGGGGGGTCCAGTTCCCGGCTCCATGCCTCAGGTCCCTGTGTGGGCCCTGTGGCGCTGGTG